TACTTCTGGGTTTTAGTGAACTTGCAACGGCTACTCAAGAAAGAAGGTGCAGCTCCATAATTATGATCATGGTCCGAGTATTTTTCGAATATAGACCTTATTTTTTCGTTTGCAAAGATTGGGCGCCATTTTGTATGGGCTAAACCAAATTTTGCCGAAAATTGCAAATTAACACCCTCATTTTTTTTTAAAGAAAGAGGTATTTTCTTACATCCAGGGGCAAGTCTTTGTTGGTTATTTTGTATTTTCAACAACCGATTGATACGTTTGGAAACATTTATAGCTATTCTTTAATATTATTTGCAACGTTGACCTACCATAGTTCACCAATCCGTGGTTGGCAAAGAGTGCTAACCACAGGTTGGCATTGGGTGCGTTCGTGTAGCTTAACCGGGTCGACACGGGTCAGCCCCATGCCGTTCGAATAGCTCTGACGTCATACTCGGGGATCACCCGGGTCAGCCACCACAGACCCTGCTCGTGGAGCAGAGTCACTGGTGAAAGTACGTCACGCATGCGTTGTTCATTCCCTAGAAACGGACAAATATGGCGGCCAGACAGCGGAAATCTCAAGTGGACTTAAAAGTTGACTTTATTTGAAGTCTGTAATCATTAATTTTATGAGGTCATTGTGACTTTTTGAGGCTATAATTTCAGCCCAACTTTTTTGAGTTTTGCAATTGACTAAAAAAGCAGTAAATCTCAAACTGACAAAACGCCCGTTTTGTCAGTGGCTACGGCCATGGCTAAGGGTGTCACGTGAGGATCGTGATGGTCCGCGGTTGAGCGTTCGATTAGCCCGGCTGTCGTGGCTGACCCGTCTGCCTTTACCCGTGTCGACCTGGGTGAGCTAAACGAACGCACCCAAAAGACAGAATTGCATGTATACGATTTCGCTCGTACCCCCGCCCTGCAAACAGGGCGGGGGTACGAGCGAAGTATACGATTTGAATTAAACTGCCACAAGAGGGCGCTATTGCAGCGTAACAGTGTACCTGGAGGGGAAAAAAACAAGCACGAGTGCACAATTAGCTCTGGCGAAAAATGCGACGCCGCTGGCACATATGGAACATCATACTTATGGTCAATTTTTGGGACAGACAGACAGACCATCCGACCGACCGACCACCAAGTGACATGTAGAAGCTCCTGCCAGAGCTAAAAAAAAATGCACCCGCCCACCTTTTGGGGACATTTTCTCCTTCTGGATGCCGTCCAACAACTACACAAAATGGCGTCCACCTTGTTCGCGGAAGATGTACAGAGCAAGTGTGAGTGCACAATAAGGTCTGGCCGTGTTGCAAGAAGTCTTGCATGAAATTGATCAAAATGGTCTCTGCCAGAGATTACAAATGCGACGCCGAAGAGCGACGCCGATGGCACATGTGGAACACCATACTTTTGGTAAATTTTCGGGACGGACAGACAGACAAACCACCAAGTGACAAGTAGAAGTTCCTGCCAGAGCGTACAAACCGTAAAACTAAAACATGGAGGTGGTTTCGTATGATATGATATGCGTATTATGTGGGCCGTTTCTCAAACTAACTGGGGAATTTGTTTCCGTTTTGCTTCGTCCCTTGCTAGGCTGCGGCTTTGTGTACCCGGAGCCATTTGAAGGTCTTTAACGTTCGAAAAAAAATATGAAAATAAACTTGATTGTAAGGCTCTAAAAATCAGCTTTTCGTCCCTTTGGCCGAACCCTTGAGACAGAGTGTCCTCAGTCACAGGCTTCAAAACAGGCAGCTAAATAAATTTCTGGAACCTGCTGCCGAAGCCGGGAACGGCCCGCGAAGGTAAAGCGCCCTCAGAGAATCATGCATAAGTTTATTCTACCCTTCGTTCGTACCCCCCCCCCCCCCCCTGCGCTGGGATACGCTAATGAGCTTCACAGAATCTTGTGAAGGAAGTGGGGATTGGGGATGGCGTTCTGGGTAACTTATCATGACCTATGTGTAAAGCACCTGGCTGCAGCTACATTAGTCAATGCGCGCAAATGCTATCCGTAAACTTTGCCATAGAAATTCAACACATTCCATACCTATGGTGGCCCTGAAGGGACATCGCATATCGCAAACGTGTGCGCATACGTATGCGATGTCGCGAAATTTATCGCGAACGTGTGCGCATACGTATGCGATGTCGCGAAATTTATCGCGAACGTGTGCGCATACGTATGCGATGTCGCGAAATTTATCGCGAACGTGTGCGCATACGTATGCGATGTCGCGAAATTTATCGCGAACGTGTGCGCATACGTATGCGATGTCGCGAAATTTATCGCGAACGTGTGCGCATACGTATGCAATGTCGCGAAATTTATCGCGAATGTGTGCGCACACGTACGCAATGTCGTGAAACAATTCGCGAATATGTGCGCACACGTATGCGAATTTGTTTGCAATGTCGTGAATTTTATTGCATACCTTGTCGCATACCTTTCAGTAAAATTCCTAATGAACTGGGGAGTTGTAGCAGCTAGTCTGGAATCTAGACGTACTGTTAGATATAAATAGGGTCTGACTAATAAACCTTCGCACGCACGCTGTTCCTCGCGCAATCGTTACTACTAGTACTGTCGAGCGCAAACTTGGTACTTGCGCAAGTTTGAAACTTGCGCGCGCAAATTTGAAAGTTGCGCAAGTAGCAAGTTCGCGCTCGACAGTACTAGTAGTAACGATTGCACGAGGAACAGCGTGCGCGCGAAGGTTTATTAGTCAGACCCTATTTATACCTAACAGTACGTCTAGATTCCAGACTAGCTGCTACAACTCCCCAGTTCATTAGGAATTTTACTGAAAGGTATGCGACAAGGTATGCAATAAAATTCACGACATTGCAAAACAAATTCGCATACGTGTGCGCACATATTCGCGAATTGTTTCACGACATTGCATACGTATGCGCACACGTTCGCGATAAATTTCGCGACATCGCATACGTATGCGCACACATTCGCGATAAATTTCGCGACATTGCATACGTATGCGCACACGTTCGCGATAAATTTCGCGACATCGCATACGTGTGCGCACACGTTCGCGATAAATTTCGCGACATCGCATACGTATGCGCACACGTTCGCGATAAATTTCGCGACATCGCATACGTATGCGCACACGTTTGCGATATGCGATGTCCCTTCAGGGCCACCATACATACCGGAATGTGTTAAACAACCCTTTTATGGAGATTGACGCGCGCGTAACATGTTCTGCGCGATGTCACGCAGAACGCACCTGGGGCGTTGCGTTTTGAATTTAGAACTATAAAATTCTGACTCGCTTGTAGTGTTGCGCATGCCTACGTGAGGATTATGAACGTTCAACCAATGAAACGGTAAGAGGCACTGGATTTTTAGGAGTCCACATTTTATTGTGACACTGGAAAAGTGTTTAAGACCAGCTAGCCATGTCTTTATCATCCGTTTAAGACCGGCCACGTGACGGGCTCTCGACCAATAGGAATAGCTAAACTGTCTGAGGTATTTATGAATGTCGCATAATATGCAATGTGAATTCGAAACTGAGCCTGAGCAAGTGACGTGAATAATTGTAATTTACAAAACAGACACGTTTTACAGATTTTCCTACTCTATTACCTTTTCTACGAAAAAAAAGCATTTATGAATGGGAATAAAAGAGTGACTCTATCTTAACGGCCGACGGCCGTTTAAAAACCGTGCAGGGTCGTGGCCATGATGACTTGCAGGTCACAGGTCACGCAAAATCTATCCAATCAGAGCGTTAATTCATCAGCGTATGATCCCAGCGTCCTGTTTGCAGGGCGGGGGTACGAGCGAAATTCTGCCCTTTCGCTCGTCCCAACACAGTCAGTTCGAGTTGTGCTCGAGTTACGGGCTTGTGACACTATTATGTAACGTCTTGGTGCTCTCATTAATGATACATTTAGCCATGCGTGACCCACGGTCAATACCTCCGTGTGCTCACGACTCATGCCCATGAAATTGCACGCTCATTGTGTCAGAGTTGTAATGACTCAAGTCAATGACTCGACTCCACTCACTCGAGTCCCGCTCGAGTCACAATTTAGTTGGCGACTTGACTCGAATCCCAACGTACGGGTAACCGACTCGACTCGACTGGAGCCACTGCGAGCAAATCGACTCGAGTCGAGTCCCTCATCATAGACTCGACTCGAGTCGAAGGCTAATGAACACTCGAGTCCCAAAACTGTGCGAAAATATATTTGCGGTAACTTAATTATCGCACAGTACACAGTTATTGTTCGCGTACTTCGTGTTATCGTCAAGTTGTGGCCGCTTATCGAGGAAAAAGAAACGCCGTATCACCGACTCCCACCTCGTGGCTTATAATATAGTGCACAAACCACTATCCCGGAACCAGGCGTTAAACGCATTTCCCAATTCTTGGTTTCATCATCGACTTCGGGCGATTTTTTAAGCCCTTGATGGAACTCCAGCTAAGGTCCTGCTTTAAAAAAAACTTTCGATACAATTTCTATACAGCCTAATCAGAAACAGTTTCATATATTGCATTTGGTTTTGACGTTGTCATTGTACAAAATATTATTCCAGATCCGAAGCCAAACCAGAGATACATTGTTAACTGTTACGTAGATCTTTGGTAGATTTTTGGTAGAAACGTCCTGCAGAAGCTGTATATTGGGTACCATGCTGCATATTTTAAGTCTTTAAATTTGTTAGATGGTGTTTAAAACATGACTCGAATTGACTCGAGCATAGATTTGACTCGACTCGACTCGACTCGACTCACTGCCACACACTGTGACTCGACTCGACTCGACTCAACCTTGTTGACCTAATGACTCGACTTGACTCAAGTCAGTTCCTCACAATGACTCGACCCAACTCGAGTCACAAAATCCAGTGACTCGTTACAACTCTGGATTGTGTATGGCAAGTGACCTTTCCACAATGCTTAGCTGCGACGCTGTGTTTCCTTCACACCGTAATTTTGTGTGTGTGTGAAAGAGATTGAGGTAACCATTGCACTCACCGCAGCTTGTGCCTTCTCGGCCTCCGCCAGTTTGCTCTCGTTGCTTGCCAGCTTGTCTTGCACCTGATCCAGCTCGGTCTCAATCGTCTTGATCTTTGACTGCAGTTCCTTGATCTGATCTTGCGCCTGTAATGTAAAAAAACGGACAAAGAGAATAGTAAACTATTTCCAAATACAGCCAATCGAAGCCGCCTTTAGAAGTTGTGGGTCTTTCGATATGAAGAAAGGTGGCATCAAATTGAGTTCCAATCGACTCGATGAAGGCTATGTTGAGTGCCGCACATGATCTAATCGATCTGTGCCCCACCCAAAAAGTTCCAAATATGCTTTAACTGATGCGGCTATTTACTGAATAAGAATGTCTATATAATTAACACCCAGTACTGTGGATTATATTTATCAATCAAAATCATGTCAATTAAATTCAATGTCTTTATAACACCTAGTACTGTAAATTATATTTAGCAATCAAAATCATGTCAATTAAATTCAGTTAAATTTACGAAAACAAAATACTAACAATTAAAAGAAATAAAAAAAAAATAATAAATATAGAAAAATCAAACTGGCGCAAGACGTTTCATTCTCTTTGTTTCGTTACAAGAAGTAAAATGAAGAAGTAGAAAAAAGAGGCAATTTTTAATAGCCATCAGTGCAAGGTTGTCCTCATTGGGCAAAATGGCGACCATGCAATAAGCATCGTATTCGTGGTAAAATATTATCAAGGTCACGGTCTGGATTTTGTCTTTATTTATTGTCGTTTTAAATTTGGAAATTAAAATTTAGAAACGTCACGACGAAGTGAGAGAAGCATTCATAATTTTCTTTTTAAAAAAATGTTCAAGAAGATCATAGTGTAAACCGAAACATGAGGAACAACTAGGAAGAGCTTCCTCCAAACAGCCGTTGTTTTCTATTTATTTGGGCATGGAATGTGGATTGGTATGCGCGGTATGTGCCTCGTTTGGGCATACCCTTGCTACATACAACTGGGACACGCGACTACCAACGGGCAGCTGCAGATACGACGGCCGTTCTGTGCCTGTGATAACGAAGATCCGATAATTACTACGTTGAATTTTTTTCTGGCATTCTTTCATTCAACAAGTTCCCCAAATGAGGTAGTTGTGACTAAATCGAATACAGGAAATTCGAGAGTTATGTTTTCCCTTCCCATTTAATCAAGATCATTCAATTATTTCCAAACAATTTAGCTTAGTTGACGAAAATAGAACGGAACATACAATTACATTAAATTGGTGCTACCAATCTAAATTCGGCAAATATCCCGTAAAATAAACTTTCTTGTTAGTGTAGGAAGACTCGGAAGTCCGATTTTTTAAAGCTTTAAGTTGATTGAACGACAGACTCGGTAGTGTAAAATCTATTACAAGGCTGAGCCGTTCGTGCCTTTTTAAAACATTTTTTAGACTCTGGAATGACTTTCGTTTCACGAATTTGTTTTGATATAGTGATGGTCGTGTTCCTCTTCAGTGGCCCTCAAAAGGCTCAATAGTGACTGGAGTGGGCCCGGTAAACAGGGAGAGGGTACAGACAGTGTAAACAATGCGAGTCTGGCAGCGCAAGGGTCTATGAACCCATATGTTGGAACCTTCAATTGACATGTCAGGAAGTTTCCGTGAGTCAGAAGGTTTCTGGTGCAGTCTGTGTGAACGTGCGGCAAACGACATGTAAAATGCGCACCCAAAATACCCGAATAGCGCGGCCATTGTGATCACAGTTGTCATAACTATAAATGCTTCTGTTTTAACCCTGCAGTGTTTGGTGTCCCTAGTGGCATAATCCCAAAAATAAAGTTAATAATCCTGGTAAACTTACACAGACAAAGTTCGCAATACCAGATTATGAGATGAGGTTTAGAATTAAGAACACGGTGACGGTACTTCAAAGGCCTTGGTACCTGGTTTGGTTTTCTGAGATGACAGGTTTTTACTTACCTCCTCCTCTCTCTCACGGGCCGCTCTCATCTCGTTTTCCGCCGTATCTCTGGCATCCATAGCATTCTCCTTCTCCTGCTTCAGAGCCTGCATCTTCTTCTTTATGTTCTCCATTTTGGCAGTATTGGTTCCAACCTTCTGTCTTGCCTCCCGCAAAAAAGAAAGAGAAAGCACCGTGCAACTGATGGTTGGCGAGTGGAGCGTGGAATGTGAGTGCAGTGCTGGCCGGCCTACTACCCTGATCAAGGAACGTGGAGGAAAAGACGGACCGCCGCAATCTCTGCCGTAACCTTGCCGAGTGCGAGGAATGTCAGGGGTGTTCTTGTACCCAGACAGGACCGGGGGAAGTTTTTTTTTTTTTACTCAACAGTCCTTTACCAACATTACCTCAGCCAGGAGGAACTCTGCGGTTGCGCAGGGCGTCACGTGGTACGCTGAAAGCCAATGGCTGCATCCGGTCTCTGAGGACCTTTTCTGGCACTCGGTGAATGAAGGCATGTGTAGTATGACGTGTGGTTTGATGTTCCCAGACCGTGTTGGCCGTACGGATATACAGGCCGCCATATAAGGGATTCCCTTGGCTTGCGGATACATAGCGGATCTCTCTTCGGTCTTTCACACACACTTTCAATATTTGCTTGTTTGAAGTTGTTGGGTCGGAGAATGGTAATTGGTTTAATCCGAAGCCAAAAGAGTGCAACAATTATTGATGTCTGCACACATTGGGATACTTGAAAGTTATCAAAGATGATCGAATAGCCTACTGTATAGTTGGAACTCGGGATTTATTTCGAGGCGGTCTTGCAACTTTCTTTTCATTTTGGAAAGACAAGGCATGCAATCCATATAAAGTCAATGATGATTCTAATCAATGTTTGCAGCCTCGGGCAAGATTACATGACATTTGTATTGTCCGTATGCCTAGAGGTAATTTATGCACGTTAGCATCAAATCATAAAATTCAATCAATTAAATGAAAGTGTGAAGTTGCGGTGTACCCTAGTAACTTTATTATAAAAAAAAATAAAAGATTGAGGAATAACACTTGCAATACCAGTTTATAGGAGCCTGCGTTGGTTGCATTTATTGATACACTCAGAACACATAGGTATACAAGATGTATACTGCAGTAAATGGGTGCTCACTTGGTAGAAAAGTAGGGGTGATCTGAGGCTTATTAATCAAATCTTATTGAGTAATTGTTAAATAATTAATCGACGAAGTGTCTAAATTGAGAGTGCCCCATTAAGTTAGAGTAACATAGATGCCAAGGACCCGCTGCATTATACTTGGCAAGAGCAACATGAAAGTCAAACAAAAGTCAAGCACAATGGGCGGTGCGATTCAGTTGTAAGTCGGCCAAGAGGAAGTCTCGTATCGATGTGAATTAGTGGGAATGTCTTCTCCCTTTTTAAGATGGACCCAAACAGAATATGAAAAATCCACGCGACGTTCCGACTATAAAACTGAAACACCCTTTTCACTAAGGGATATAATAACGCCTGAGCAAACTGAAAGTATGAGACTTCCGTTGCATTGTTTTTAAAAACTAAATTAGGTAAGCCGAGTAAAGTTGGTATAACTTATAAGAGCGCTCAAAATTGTATTCACTTGATTCAGCCGGAATGGCTTTTCACTGAAAGTCTTTCCATGCATCTGGTCAGTGGGGCTGCATTTAGCCCATTCATTAGCGTTAATGACGAATTCCTATTCGATAGCACTGCCCGGATCACAAGTGACTATCAGACAGGCAGTTAGTGAGGAAGAGAAACGGAGCTGGACCTTTGGGACCAAAAAATAATAATAATAATGTCACTGCCATCGCTTCCATCCCTTTAATAAAAAGGGGGTGGGTCAAGGGACCTAGACTAGTGGGGCAATGTATCGGATGTTCGAGTCCGGCCATTGGGGATCACGTTGGTTGTGTTCTCAGGCAAGATACTTTTCACCAATGAGTCAACTTAGGGTAAAGGCCTAGAGCTGGCATCTTTATGTTTTTAATTGATAGATGGCCCATTGAAAATCATCTGTCAGGTGACATGGCTACCATCTGTAACTAAAGCTATTATTATTACTTATTTAGGGTACCGTCTAAGCAGACATGACACTGGGTAAGCATTGTTAATGATCGTGCATGAGTGATGTTCAGTCTTTCGCAGGGGCTCGGATCTATAGCCTCGGGAAACGGGGAAGGGGGTAGTTGATATAAAACTGGTCAGCAGCACGCCTTGTTATAGGTGTGTCCGGGGCTTGCCTCTGGGGAAATTGTGCAATCTACGATGATTTCTCCTGCATTCTAAGGCAATTTGAGAACAAGTCTTAGCATTATTTTTGGCCCCATTTCACTAGTTTCGTAACATTAGCGACTGGCAGGGGGTTGCGATCCCCAATCCTCTCTAGATCCGCTGCTGGTCCTTTGTAGGCTATAATAAAAAGATACTTTCTTTGTACAATTAAGTAAGAAACAGTTTCTCTGAAGCACTATATTTTTTTTGCATAAATTTACTTTTCAAGATTTCAAAAAATACAGAGGTACCGTGAACTTGTGCCTTTAAGTGGACTAACTTGGCTGAATCGTGGCCGATGTGCCAAGATGGCCCTAATGTGAAATGATGAACAGACCCCGTTGCTAGCTCGTAATTCTACAAGAATCTTCATTCATCACGTGCCAAAGATAACAACCTTGAGCCAAATAGCTGATATAGATTCGTGAGAAGAGTAACATCTGCTATAAATGGATCGTCTAGCTGGTTTTGGATGTGATAAGTTGATCGTCTGGGTTTTTATATACTGTAGAAAACAAAATTATATTTGAAACGCTGCATCAACTAGTTTACTTTTCATAGCACTCTTTATTTGACTGGTCGTTGGAAATCATCTATAGAAACTGAAGTGTTAGTTGAATCCAACACTTGCATGAGTTCGGTCAGTGACCACACTTTGAGTTTGAAAGTATTTAAACCAGCATTTTTAATGTTAAATCCAACACTTAAACTGTTAATTCAACATTCATGTCGAGTCAACGCTTTCAAAGTGTTAACTTTGACAAATGTTGAATTAACTGTATAGGGCCTAAGGGTTGGATGTAACATTTAAAATGCTGGATTGAATATTTAAAATGCTGAATTCAATACTTTCAAAGTGTGGTCACTCTCACCGAACTCACTAAGTGTTGGATTCAACACGTCAGTTTTAAGACATGTGCAATGCTTGATTTCTTCTAAATGACAGCAAGCCGGACGGACTGGTATTTAGTACCAGTACAAGGGTGTTTAGTACCTGAGTGCGACCTTTAATCCAAGTATTACATGTACTAAGCTTTTTGATAATAAATCGGTAGGTCACTTTAGGGATAAAAAGCAAATGATCGTACACGATTTTATAAGCCTCCAATCTGGGTTTTTTTAATGGCTTTGATTTGATAATTAGCTTTCAGTTTTTGCTCAAATAATTGTGGAATTCTCTCGTCTAGAACTGCAATCGTTCAAAAGGGAGTAACTATACTCACATTGGACATTTTAATTTGGATACCCCGGCGCCCTAGATATGGGGTGCGCCTCTGTTCCTTTGACCCAACACGGAGCTGATCTTTGCACCTTTGTGTCATGTCGTCACATGTCCACGTTGTCATGAATGAAGAGTTATTTATATATACCCAATACGATCATGACCAATGTTTTTTCTAACGAACAACACGTATACCAGCTACTTTCTCTGGACTTACGTTGTAATTAAGGGTTTAGAACTTAGAAACACCAAGATTTTTATTTCAAATCCCCAGACAGTCAACTAAGTTTAGCTAGATGCACTATGTTAGGAGCCCATAACATTTGAGAAATTTAATCTCCCCTGGATTGATGTCATCCTGCGAATGTTTGATACATTTTCGCTCCCAATATCTACAACTCATGTCTGTGGGTTTATTTCTCAGTACATTCTGCAACCCGAGTCGCCCTCGTTCCCAGAAGGCCGTGGCAAGTAGTGCATTGAATTTACCGGCCAGACGGATAGCATTATCGCAAACCACTTTCATCTCGGCAACAAATTCTTTGCATGAAAAGGACAACTTCGGAATGTATTTCCATGTTTAGGTTCCTTCATCCACGGTTTCGTACTGTCAGTAAAATGGAGGCTCTAAACTGCAATCGCAGGTGTGTTTTTGTTATTAACTAATAAATGGTCATTAAAAATTAAAGAACTGTGGTAATTATTATATATGGCATTAGCTAAAAACAGATTGGTTGAAATAACCAATCATTGGTTGAAACAGCCACATATTGGTTAATATGTGTCCAACCAATCGGATATGTTGGACACATGTTAACCAATATTGGTTATTTTAACCAATCTGTTTTTAGAATAGTTAATCGACCGACCAAATATTTCTTATGAAAGTCAAACTTATTGAATAACAAGTGCGAGTGCGCAATAAGCTCTGGCGCAAAATGCGACGCCGATGGCACATATGGACCACCATACTTTTGGTAAATTTTGGGGACACTTCCTCCTTCTTTGCAAACTTTTCAAAAACATCTTTCCGAATTGTTACAAACATTTTTTGTTAAAGTATTAAATTTGTTTGTTTGTTTGTTTTTTGTTTTTTTTAGTTTTCATTTGGTAGTTCTATTTTATGTAAAACTTAAGGGGCTTATTTTGGTCAATTTTCGGGGACAGACATAACGCAAAATAAAACGCGCATATAGGCGCATCGATCGAAACAAAGCCCGTGTTCCGAAAACTTTCGTCAAGAGTGCATTTAGTGACGATGGCGTGGCATTTAGTCAATTAGTCAATTGTTTTTGGTCAAATATTTGTGGTTAATTTTTGGGGACAGACAGACCGACCGACCAACCGACCGACCACCAAGTGAGATGTACGTAGAAGTTCCTGCCAGAGCTTAATAATAAAAACAACAGTGGGCAATTATTAGTATATCAAAATTAAAGGGTAGTTCTTCAAGTTATAAACGCTAAGGGCTGCCACGGTATAGAACAAAATGACAGTTCAAGGCGACATGGCCATGCATGGGTCACTCGGTTGCAAAAAAAAGAAGTTAAAATCATAAATCACATGTATCAGGGTTTCGGGTACCAGTCAAGTTATAGGTATATATACATGTTTATCATCGGTATCAGTGCATAATTATAAATACCCACAAGAGGGTGCAACCAAATAAATAGGCCAAACATTCGTCAGCCGAGTCATGAATAATTGTAATGTTAGACATTCAAATTTTTCTATATTACTCAGTTCTGAGAGCCATAGAATTGGAGGATTGAAGACATACTGCACTGCATACTTGGGT